ACTTCATGGTAGTGCTCAATGAACACAAGGTTTTCCACTCAGAGCACAAATGTGAATTTCAGGCATGTTTCACCATGAAGTTTGCTTGGAAAGCTCTGGGCTTGCCTCCTGGCACCCTTTGTAATTCATGCCACAACTTAGGTCTGCATTATTAACCATAACATTTTATATTTACAGGGTATCCTCCAGCCAAGGATCTCAGCACACATCCTATCTATTATTAAAACCTTTCAACATGCCTGCAGAGTGAATTTGACATAATTTAGGAGATGGAAAAACTGGAACATAGAGAGGAAAAAGGCCAAAAATTTTAAAAAGAAGTTATTTTATTATTTTTTCCGTTATTTTCCTGGGGAAAAAAATATTTTGTACATATCTTTAAAAGTTCTCAGGCTTGACAAGATTAATAAAGTTGTTCAGCCAACTATGACAGTCATAGATGTGCCCAGAGATGACAGTGCCTTACACAGTCAACAGCAATTCCCCAAACAGCAATGAGAATATTACATATTTTTTGTTTTATTAACACAGAGTGTACACGCAATTATCTGTGGCAGGTGCTTGTATTTACTCTACAGAAATTCACACAAATTTGATTTTCCTAATAGGCAATTTCCAACAAAGCCTTGTCAAAGGTGACTTGTTCTGGTTCTGTTCTAGCCATGCAGTATGTTTGCCGTGTTTAATTGGCCTTCAGTGGCTCCTTACTCCTGTCAAGGATAATCTGCAATTGGCTGAATGGAAGCAGAGAAGAAATGTACCAGAGTGACTTGGAAGAGATTCCTATTTTTAGGACAACAACGGAGTCATTGGCAAATTCCCTTGGGATCCTTCAGCATGGGTCAGCAGCTCATCCAGGGTACAGGCTGGAGGTTTGGTTCTTTTGGATTGTAAGAAGATCAGATCTTTCCTACTTTGTGACTCAAGTTGGTGATGTGGAGTGCAATAAAGGACGGTTTATTTTGAAGGCACTCCAAGGTTTTTCAAGAATAGACAGATAGAAAACTACCATTCCTGACTTACAAGAAAAATCAGAGATGTTTAATATGCTTTATGTCGTCTAAAATACAAACCAATCTTAGGATGTTATCTAATAAGCACTCTGGTGTAAGTAAAAAAAAAAAAAAAAAATCTGGCTTCAACTTTTCTGCCAACCTACAAGCTGCCAAACAGACCAAGTGCTGCAGATAAGTTGTAGCACTGCGATTCCATGCTGCAGTTACGCCACCTACAGGAACTGACACCAACTCTACAACAGGTTTGCCTGCCAAACTGCTGAGGGAAGACTTCACTTCCTAACCTTCGACTCGTAAGAACATTTTGTTCAGCTTATTAAAAACTAACACAAGTATTTAACTAACTGAGCTGGCTTCTTCCTTATCACTTATTCACTGTGACTATGAAGCAACGGGGATACTGAAATCTACTTTATCAAGTGACTTTTGTAACAGGTGGGATATATTACAGCAAAGCCAGAAATAGATACAACCTTCCACTAAAACCCAGTTTGGGGGGTGATATACGGACCTCCCAACACCATAAATTCCTGTGCCCAAAATAAGCAGTGCAATATGAATAACAGTGATGTAATTACTTGAAGGGATTTAGACAATCGGTTTGAAGAGACTCTTTTTATGCAAACAAAAGAAATCTCATTAATGTTTTTGTGAAGGTAAGAAGTGGGGAAGAAAGTTTCCCAACAGAGATGTCAGCACCTCCAGTAAGACTGTACTGTGTCACCCAGTTGCCTTTGGGAAGGGGCTGTTTCCAAAGCCAGGGCAAAGTCAAGGACCACTGTCCAGGTCCCCTGCCTGTTGGGCTCTCCTGTAGCTCTGCTGACAATCCACTCCTCTGGCTCTGTTCACATTCCCAGGCCTGAGATGATTACAGGCCATGGTATTGCAGCTGCCCTCTCAAGTCTCCTTGGGGCTTAATTTCCTGAGAATTAAGTCAGAACGCACACAAGATAATTAAAAGATGTTCTCTCATCCCTCTTTCCTCACCCCAAGGGACATTTTAGAGTATATACTATTTACCAGCTGCAATACAGTCTGTTGTTCAACACTCGCTTCCACTTTGAAGGTATTTCAGCATTTAGAGAGGGCCTGTGAGAAAGATGGGGACAAACACTTTAGCAGGGCCTGTAGCAACAGGACAAATGTGATGGTTTGAAATGAGAAGACAGTTGATTAATATTAAATATAAGGAAGAATTTTTTACATATAGCATGGTGAAACAAAGGCACAGGTTGCCCAGAGAGGTGGTGGATGCCCCGTTCATGGAAACGTTCAGGGCCAGGTTGAACCGGGCTCTGAGGAATCTGACGTAGTTGAAGCTGTCCCTGCCCATTGCAGGGAGTTGGACTGGGTGACCTTTAAGGTCCCTTCCAACCCAAATTATTCTGTGAGTCTATAAATAACTCAGCTGATGTTACTGTCCTTTCGTCTGTGATTTTCCTACATTCATCTGGTTACAGACAGTGCCAGGGGAATCCGTTTTGCATTCAAGCCTCTCAGGCTGCTGGGAGGTCTCGGTACCAAAGGACGTTGGGTGAGCTCCATTGTATTGTGCTAGCACTGGTCTGACAGAGGCTGCTCTGGTTTTTGGATGGCTGAGAGATATGCCATGGACTGGGAGGGAAGGGGCAGCTCTAATGTTGGGAAGGTTTGTGACAGTGCTTTGTCAGGTGGGAAATAATACTAAGGGGTTTTAGCAGAGTACCTGGCTAAATCTGAGGTGAGTTTGATATTGGGGCGGCGTGGTGGGTTTGTTTGCTGGATGTAGGTGCCTGAAGACATGTAGGATTCCAGTTAGACTGGGGCTGGATGTTTTTTCTCCTCCTCGTGACTCAGAGGGACAGCTCTCACAGAGGTGCGAAGGTTTAATTTCTTTTGTATCCTGAATCCAGGATGTTGCTTCCACTTTTATTTAGTGGTGAGTTGTTTGCCCCATCTCTCAGCTCACTCAAGCTCAGCGCAGCCTGTGAGCTTCCCATTAGCTAAGGACACTTCCCAAAAAGATAAGAAGGACAGAGAGGGGCAAGGGGTTTTCACTACTCAACAAACAATACTTCCTCCCACAAACCTCAGCTAAGGCATTTCTTGCCTGCTTCACTCAGGCTTTTTACACCTGGAAGGAACATCAATCGCTTTAGTTAAGATAAGCAGAACTTCTCTATGTCCATGGCATAACAACAACTGGAAAATAACTGTGAATGTACCTGAGTAGATGTTACCAGTGTGGCCACAAGCCCTTTTTAATGCACAGATTACACATACTGGCTTAGGTTCTAAATACCAGTGTATTGCCATAAATGGTGCAAATGGTATTAGGATTTGGGTGAAAGCATGGGAAAAATATTCTTGGTTTCCGTACCATAGACTTCTATTCTGCTTTATCCTCCTGTCTTCAGTGTCTCTTCCCAGATTCTCCTCATCTTTTCTTTTGTCAAAAGCATCACTTTTATCATGCCTTTCTTCTACAATACCTTTTTCTAGTCCCCACAGGTCTCTCATGCTCACCTCTACCTCTTTTCTCTTTAAGTCCTCCATTTACAAGAGGACACAGAAAGGAGCTACAATTTGGACAAACTACAAAGGTATTGTTTCCAGTTGTATAAGCTTCACCTTTATCAACACTGCCATCATCTCCCGAGCACAGACTGCTGGCATCTGAGCTCCAGCCTGTGGTCAGACTTCAGCAAGCTCAGTAACCCAAAGGAAGATCGTTCTGTGACTTAAGAAAGCCAGGATCCATTTTGGGACACAAAATCCCATTGTGACTCCAACTAACTCATTTCACCTCTATGTGACCTTAATTCATTGCTTTAACCTTCAACATATGATATATAAAGGAGGATAAGGACAATCTTGAGAATGATGCAGTGAGATGGTCCAGCAGGGTATTTCGACTCCCTGTGGAAATGAGATGCAAATGAGCACCCAAATCTGCACACATGCTGTCATCTGTACAGTGTGAGGCTGCAAACATTGGGTGACCTGCTCTCTGGTAACTTTGCAGCGCCCTTTGCAGGAACACACAAAATCTGAGGAGCCTTCAGCATGATAGCTCTGGCTAGGATGTGTGATGTTCTGTGCAAATGGTGCTGATTTCCCCAGGGCTGAAAATAGAAATGCAGAAATAATTTCCTTTTTTCTTTTTTTTCCCCCTTCTCCTGTGGTATTGAGGGTGTATTTTTCCAATAGCAGTGCAACATTGTGAGACACCGAGCTTTGCTTTCAGACACCAGTCATGCCTCGTTAGATGATACAAAACCAGTGCTTCAGCTCGACCTGAAGCACTGGACACAAAAATATTTCCATAATATAGAAAGGTTGGACATTAGGAGGAATTCCTTCACAGAACAGGTGATTAGACACTGGAATGCAATGCTCAGGATGATTAGACACTGGAATGCAAAGCACAGGATGATTAGACACTGGAATGCAATGCACAGGATGATTAGACACTGGAATGCAATGCACAGGGCATTGGTGGAGTCACTATTCCTACAGGTGTTGAGGAAAGACTGGATGTGGCACTCAGTGCCCTGGTCTGGTTGACAGGGTGTTTTTCAGTCATAGGTTGGATTCGATGATCTCAGAGGTCTTTTCCCACCTAACTGACCTTGTGATTCTGTGATTTACAACGTCTCCATGCACTCCGTTGCCTGCATTTAAATAACAAGAGGTGCCACGGAGATAAAACACACGCGCTGCAGCATGTACATGATACAGCTGCTGCTTTCTCCCCTTTAATCTCTATTTTAATGCCTCTATTTTCTAACTTCTCCACTTCCACCTCGATTTTCCCCCACTCTAGGTGTGCCGGCGTCAAAGAACCGCTCACGGACCTCCCGCCCCTCAGCGCCGCTTCCCGCCAAAACACCCTCTCCTCCCCAGCAGAGTCTGCCCCCCGTTGCTATGCGCGGTGACGCGCTCCCCTTGCTTTTCTCATTGGCTGTCCCGCCGGTGACGGGGGGGCGGTGCGGCGCGGGATTGGCTAGGGGCGGGCGCGCGCGGTGCAGGTCGGGGCGGGTGGGGCCGATGGCGGCCATCGGCGTTCATCTGGGGGCCACCTGTGCCTGCGCCGCCGTCTACAAGGTGAGGGGGGGACGGGGCTGCTTGGGGGTCCCTGCCGGTCGGAGGGGGCGGGCCGGGGCGGGGCGGCGAATCCCCGAGGGGCGGCTCACGGGTGTTTCTGTCTCTCCCCTCAGGATGGCCGCGCAGATGTGGTCGCCAACGACGCCGGGGACCGGGTCACCCCCGCGGTCGTGGCGTTCTCGGAGAGCGAAGAGGTGAGGCTGAGGGGAGAAGGGAGGGGGGCTCTGCGTGCTGCTCACTTTTTTTAAATGTTTTTTAAATTTTTTTTTTTAACTTTATTTTTTTTACTTTTTTTTTTTTATTCAGGTGGTTGGCTTAGCCGCAAAGCAGAGCAGGATCAGAAATATTTCGAACACCGTAGTGAAAGTAAAGCAGATCCTCGGGCGAAGGTAAGAGAACGGGTATGGAAGGAGCAGTGAGAAGTTTGGTTTTCTCCGTTAAAGCTGGTCGGTGAAACCTCTCAGCGCTGATGCTGGAGGCATTTTAATGTATTGTGACAGTATTTAATTTAACCTGGTATTGGCATCTAATCTCTGAAAAAAATCCTTCTATTATCATAGTCACAATGCTTTGGGTTGGAAGGGACCTTAATGATCCTCTTGTTCCACCCCCCTGTAGTGGGGCACGTGGAAGGCACACTGTCCACTATGCCAGGTTTATGTTATTAACTTCTTAACCTACATTTCATTCCAGAAACAAAGAGGTGTGTAGTATTTTAGGTCTGAATTTGTCTGTGAAAATCAAATTGTGAAATTTAGTAACAAGTTGCACATATGCTTTTTTTATATATACTTAAATTTCTTAACTAAAATGTCTTGTTACTGGGTTGTTTTTCTGCGTGTAAAATCCACTGTGGCTTTGTTTGCATGAAACTTTTATTGTAATAGTGAAAGACACTGTTGTGATTCCTCAGTCAGTGGAACTGCGATGGCTTGCACTGGCAATTACAGTGACTAGAACAAAACTTGTGTTGTTCTGGTTGGTTGGTGGGTTAGATCTGACATCAGACATGTATCAGAACTTTTGAGTGATGACCCAGCTGTGTATTACAGCCCCTTCATGCTGTCCGTTCTGATGTATTTCCCAGCACTTTTCATGTCATAACTTTATTGAGATCTTTTATAGTGGTCACTGGGGATAGCAGGTTGAAACAATGTGTTGGGTTGTGTTTTCCCCTTTCCCTAACTAGTAGGTATTATTTCAATCATAAGTTATGGAAAGAAGATTGAAAGTCAAAACTGTTGTTTTTATTTTGACTGTATAAATGCATCTGTAGGGTGGAAACGGAAATTTTGGTGGAAGTGTAGTTTGATATATTGGAGATGTTTATAAGGAATATGAGCAAGGTGAATTTGTGGAATTACCCTTGAGCAAATGATTTATCTTGTTATTTTGAATTTGTCTGGACAGTGCTGGTGACCCACAGGCAGAGAAATATATTGCAGAAAGCAAGTGCTCTGTGAGTATGATCTGGGATTTCTGCTGTTCCCAGAGTAACTTATATAACTTTATGCTTGTCCTTGTTTGTACCATTCATGTCTGTGTTCTCTAATGATCACCTCTTCATATGAGGTCCACTTGCTGCTGTGTTTCTCTTTTTATCATCTAGTAGATAACCATGTTCTGAGATCTGCCAGCATGACGTAGTCCAACAGAAAAATTCTTACCTATCTCTTGGGCATTCTCTAAAGGGATGAATCTTAATATATTTGGGTAGTAGCATTGTGGGTTTTCTTAGTGCTGGTAGAAGGTGCTCAGGTTACAGCACTTTGTGACAAAAATGCTTAACCACTCGATTTAAATGCAAATTTAATTTGATTAATGCTGTGTTTGTTATTAGAAAATTTTGCAAAACAAGAGAAAAAGTATCCTGGCAAATACATTCATAAAGAAGGAGCAAGTTTTTCTCTGGGTTTTGGCTGTTTGTATTAGTGTGCTTTTATAAATTGTTGGGCTTTTTCTTGTGGGATGTAACCAGGCAAGCACTTTTGTTCTAAACATTGCTTTTGTACTAAGGAAAACTTAATAGAAAAAGGAAGTCTGGAGTCTTTAAGTCCTTGAGTGTCACTGTTGTGTATGTCAGATAATCCAGGTCTTTTTGTAATCTTTGATAAGCATCTTGGAAGCATTTATTTCCTTGTAATAGAGTACTAATGCAGAGAGTATTTACACAGTCCAGTTCTTTTTACTTTGAACCGGAACTAAATTAAATGTTATGGTTTTTTATTAACCATATTGTGTATCTAACAAAGGTGTGTTGGTTTTCCTTACAGATAATTGAGAAGAATGGAAAACTTCAATATGAAATAGATAATAAACTTATTAACCCAGAAGATGTGGCAAAACTGATTTTCAGTAAAATGAAAGGTATGTAATAATCGAAATCATAACACATTTTAGCTTTTTAAGCTGTCCTCGTATTTTTAAGATGCAGTATATTCGTTTTTTATGCTTTTAATAACATGTTCTGCCTGTGTTTATAAACAGAAACTGCTCAGTCTGCGTTGGGTTCAGATGTAAACGATGTTGTTGTCACTGTACCATTTGATTTTGGAGAGAATCAGAAAAATGCCCTTGGGTAAGAGGATTAAGATTTTTCTGTTACTTAACGTACCTAAAGAAGACAGGCTGGAAGATCAGCAGTGGCAGTTCTCCTGCTGGACTTCAGCTTGTGACTGTCAAGATATTGGGATGTTACTTGGATGGGGAAAATATTAAAGCAGGAGATTAAATCCTGGGTTTAGAAATTTTTCGTGGAATTCACTGATGTAACCAAAAGGACATTCTGAATCATTTATAGTGAGAGGGAGTTTTGGTATCATCAAGGACAGAACATCATTTCAGATCAGGATCTTCAGTGTCACCTTTGAAACTTTGAAATAGTTTCTCACCCTCCTTAATTTCCCTTCCTTCATATTTACCAAACCAAATGGTGTTACATGACTTGCTGAGGACTCTTTTGTCAGAGTTCAGATGTGGAAAATACACCACTATTCTATTTGGAAAGTCTCTTTGGAATCAATTCTGCTGTTACAGTTCCTCTGTATGAAAATACAAGTATGCTTGAAGCTGAGCATAATTGGCAGCATCTGCTGTTCTGTAGTAGATGCTGATATGTGGTAGTAGTATTTCTGCTTTGTGGAAGCCCTTATGTTTAACTGTCATGAAACACTTAAAATGCACCTAAAAGTTGGTCGTAAAACATGAGTGACCTGGGTATTTGCAGCATTTATAATGAAGCATTCTATTGCTCTGGTAAAACAGTTTCAAAATAATTTCAAAGTGCAGGAAACAAGTTGCAGGGCAGTGCCAGGGTTACTGAAGTTTCAAGAAAACATGTAAAGAAAGTGTTACAAGTGAGGCGCAGTAACTTCCTTTTGAAGCAAAGTGGTTTCTTTAGCATGTTACCTGTTGAAATAATGTATCGAGGGCTTTTAATACCACACCTGAAGATAAGTTACCAAGTTTGATTGAGGGTAGGGGTTTTAATCTTTTAGTTGAAGGTTTTGCAGTTTTTATGGGCTATGTAGGCTGCTGTATGAGAGTTTTCATGGACAATAAGCACACAGCAGATCCAACTACCTCAAGAACACAATAGCAATTGAACTTAGTGCCTTCCTTTTCCAGTCACTTGGCTTTGCTAATACCATGCTGTAACCAAGTTCTGAGTTCAGGTGAAATGTTAATAGTGTGTGACTATAGTGAAACCATTAAAGGAAAATGAAATGCTGCTGTGCTTTATCGCAGGGAAGCAGCTGCAGCTGCTGGGTTTAATGTTATGAGATTAATCCATGAACCATCTGCAGCTCTCCTTGCTTATGGAATTGGCCAGGATTCACCCACTGGGAAAAGGTAAAATTCTAATATTTTACTTCTTAAATTTAAGCTGCTGTACTTAAATCCCAAGAAATCTTAAATGAGGGGATGCTGTGTTGCCTTAGCAGTCAATACAAAATTAACGATTTCAGACTTGGTTGGTTGTTTTTTTTTTTCTCTCAATAAAGCCAATAACCATTTGTAATTCTGTAGTATTTTAAATCCTTTTGGTTTGGTTTTTATATTTTTAGAATTGTCTTTGTAGATTTGTGCCCAGAGTCTTACTTTCTCTTTAATGAACTGATTGGCTTGAAGAAAAATGCAACCCTTTTTACCCTTCTCATATACTTCTTGCCTGTAACATTGAAAGTTACGTTAGTTCTCAGTCCTGCTGAAGGAGAAACCTTGGCTGCTCTCACTGTATGGAACAGACTAATTTTGTTCTTTAGAGCACGTTGTCAAGCAGTCAGGACTACTGAGATGCATTAAACACAAACACCCTAAATCAAATTATCTTGAGAAAACTGATTAAAACCTGCGGTACATTATTTGGTGGTAATCTTTATAGACAGTGTGTCAAAATTAACATCTTTTTTGCTGGCTTATTCATGCTACTTTCAATATTTTTTTTAACATTGCAGCAATGTGTTGGTTTATAAACTTGGTGGGACATCACTTTCTATCACAGTCATAGAAGTAAACAGTGGGATATATCGTGTGCTTGCTACAAACACGGATGACAGCATTGGTGGAGTTTGCTTCACAGAAGCTCTGGCACAACACTTAGCTTCTGAATTTCAGAGGTAAGTTTTGAATTCCAAGCATATTCCCAGGACAGGAACTTCATTATCTAGTGCTTGATTTCCAAAAAAGAAAAAAAAAATAAATAAAATCTAGCAGACTGTCTGTGAGAGAAATGGCTCAAATAAGGATATTAAAGGAACAGTCACTTGTTGAGGGCTGAGGAGGAAGACTGGGAAATGCTTGGGTTTGTGTGGATGTTGCCTGGAGTTGGTGTTGAACTATAACGGCTCAGCTGTGAACTCTGCTGTGTTTTGAGTGATGTGTGTGACTACAGGCTGCTTCCATACTTTCAGTCACAAGCTTTTTGGGTGTCAGGGAACTGACTGTGTGGTTTTGTTTAGTTTTCTTGGTGTGGAAGCCTGTGGAGGGACTTGGGTCATCAGGCTGGAGTCTGTGTGTCACGCCATCCTGTGATGAACCAGCACATAACCACTAGCTCAGTGGTCTTGAGATGATCAGTTGCATACTGCCACAAAAAGACTTTTTGGATAAAACTTAACTATTTTGCTGACATGTCTAATGGTCACTGTTCTGTTTCTTCTTAATCTGTGGTTAAAAATCAGTAACTTGCAGACCTTTTCTTGCTGTTCCTTGCAGCCATTTGCAGAATTTGTTCATCTGAGAAATTGTGCAGAGAGACTTTAATCTGTATGATAAACACTAATGCCCGAGTTCAGGGTGCCTCCTCGCTGTGCTCTCTAGTTGAATTTGAAACAGATACTTTTTCTTGGCAAGCTTTCAATAGTGGCATTGTAGTTAATACTAAAATGTTTGCAGAAAGAGTTTAATAGCTCTAAACTGTTTTTCCTTTCAGAAGGTTACCATTATCAGTCAAATTCCTGCCTTTCTAAACTGGTATCTTCTGTTTTTTTTTTTTTTTTAATACAGGTCTTGTAAACATGATATTAGAGGAAACCCCAGAGCCATGATGAAGTTAATGAACAGTGCTGATATTGCAAAACACTCTCTATCAACCCTGGGAAGTGCAAACTGTTTTGTAGATTCGTTGTATGATGGATTGGATTTTGATTGTAACGTGTCCAGGTAAGGCAAATCTTGAAGCTACTGCCTTTATGTGAAGCAGTTCTTGAAATCTTCCTAGGTGATATTTAGGAAGTTCAATAAGCTTTGATTTCCGGTGGCATTTATTTTGGAAACAGAAGACAGAAGGCCAGCTTGCTTTGTTTCATACTGATGGTTCTGTTGTGCTGCAATCTGTATAGTTAGGGCAGTAACAGAGTGTTGCCCTAATGGTTAGAAAATAAAGTGAAAAAGGCACAAGGAGACCCCATCTCTGGAGTGTGGTTGTTGATTGAAGGGGAATAAATACTGTAATGAAGCAAGGTGGCTGTTTCTTCCCCCTTAGTGATTTTGTTGTTGTATCTTCCCTAAAGAAAAGAAGACTTTTTTAACTCTTCATCTAAATGAGCTCCAGAATGATAGGTGTCATGGAAGTTGATGCTGCCTCAGTGACAGCTGGAGTAGAAAAATGTTCTCTGTTTGTACTGCTCTGTCCTACTCTTAAGTCTCTTTTCCCTTGGGATGATACTTATTTAGATGTTTAGCTGACTTTGATTGCTCTTCCAGACTGTAGCAGCTTTAGCAAAATAAAATAGACTTTTCCATTCCAGAGCTGTGCATCCACTGCTGCAGAAGTTGGAGCTGCTACAATAAAGCACAGCATGTTTTCAAGCTTGGGAAGCAGTATTGTGTAACTTGGGTTGGCTCTCTTTTGGATAAGGATGCTAATCCTGTGGACTAGTGCTGCAGACTTTGACTTACTGTGTTCCTACAGAGTAAAACCACTTCTTCAGGCTTGAAAGAGATGAAAGCAAGCACAAGTTTGTTTTTTAATTTGCTTAACCTATTCCGTGTGCAAATCAGGACACAGCTTGATTTCCGAAATTTCCAAATGGAGTCTTTGTGTCCATTTTAAAGGTGATGAAATGGTTCCAGGATGTTTGCTGCTTTATTTTTTCACATATGAGTCAAGACAGCAATGCTGGGTTTTGTTGAGACAATACTGTTTTTTCTCTAGAGTACACTGAAGAAGAATGAATGTGCATTCCACGTAGGTGTTAGTGGTGGAATTTTCACAACAACAAAATCACTTCAGGATTAATAATTGGAAATAAGATATTTTTTTAATCCTTAAATACCAGGTACAGCTGGAGAACCAAAGAATATCCTAAAAACGATTGTTCTTCCATTTCAGGTATTTGTCTCTAATAGATGAGATGACCCTTCTTGAATGTTTTTTTTTGTGTTTTTCTTTCCTAGGGCCAGGTTTGAGCTTATCTGTTCTTCACTTTTTAGTAAATGTGTAGAAGCCATTAAAAACCTCTTGCAGCAAGTTGGATTTACAGCAGATGATATTAATAAGGTAATAATAGAAGTCACTTGTCTGTAGTGTGCTTAGCTCCCCAAAACCAGTATTTACAGGACCTGTTTTCCTTGCAGACTGAGAGTATTTCATGGTATGTTTAAGCATTTTTACTGGGATCCAACAAAGTCTATCAAGATCTTTAGAACTCCTACATTTACTTTGATATCAGTTACTTGAAGTTAAGTATAAGGTAGAGTCAAATTCAATGGTGCATTTTATTGCTGCATATTGAATAAGTGGAGATGATTGGTCTCTGTTTTGTGTGTTTGTGTAACTCTTGGTAGAGCTGAGGAATACCTTCCTTAAGTTCAGTGTATGGACTTGCTGCTGCCTTCACTGAGCATTGCATGGGGTTTGCTGACACTTCTGAAGAAGCTGGCTGGTGCTTTTAATGACACTTAATGCTATTTCAGACTCTTAATTAGTGTTTGCTGTGTCACATCTCAGTTTTCCTGGTGGATAATGAAGCATCCCAGGCCACTGTTCAGAAAACAGCTTTTGTTTTCTAGTGGCAGTATTTTTTAGGTGGTCTTTTAGGCTCTCAGGCCTCAATGCTTTGGGGGGGAAACACTTTAAATGTAAAAATAAATGAACCTGATTTGCAACTCTTAAGTTATGTTTTACATGAGAAAAAGTAGGAATTAGCTTTGTTTCCATATCAGGCTGATTTCAACAAAGTCACTGTAATAGGACTTGGACTTAAGGACAAAACCTGAATTGCTTCTTCCTACAGGTGCGTGATGGGAGGGTGAGTGGCAAGCAGCACAGGTTACAGCATGGGGAAATTTTAGATTCCAAGAAAGGAATTTGTAGTGTGAGGGAAATCAAATGCTTAAATAAGGGCCCACGGAATCTGTGGAATATGTATCTGTGGAGGTGATGTCCTGAGCAGGTTGTAACTCTGCCTGTTCTGGCAAGGAGGTTGGACTAAATCATCTCTGGAAGTCTCTTCCAACCTGATGCTATTTTTGTGATGAATTTCTCAGTTTCAAAAAACGTTACATCATCTAGCTGATTCTTGCTGTAAGAAACACATTTTCAAGACACCATATTTCCTTTCATTTCAAATGCAAAAGTATCAGAAGTCAACCAGAGATTACATCAGTTTTTGTTGTAACAACTACAGATACTTAATTATCCCAGAGCAGTTTGTGGTTTTGTACTGCAGGTTGTGACCTGTCTGTTTTATTTGACAGCAGAAAGATTTGAAATTGTTATGTCATGTTTTCCAGGTAGTTCTGTGTGGTGGGTCTGCTCGAATCCCAAAGCTACAGCAGCTGATCAAAGACATTTTCCCCACTGTGGAGTTACTGAATTCAATTCCTCCAGATGAAGTTATTCCCATTGGTGCAGCCATAGAGGCAGGAATTCTGCTAGGAAAAGAGAATACCTTGTTAGAAGAAGAAGCACTTATTGAGTGTTCTGCCAAAGATATTCTTCTAAAGGTAAGACTAAAATTAGAATATTAGAAAATTTTACAGGTGCAGTGAATATATAGCACTAATGATTGATGTTAGAGAGACAGTATTGTTTTATTACTTCTACAGATTGTCCATAGGTCAGTAGCATGTGGTAACTTGGATTCATTGACAGAAAAATGACAGGAAAAATGGCTTGATTTTTAAGGGGAGATAGATTGTATCTTTTCTATGTTGTAATAGCTGGACTTTTACTTTATAGGAATGTCAATTTTTTTTTTTTTTAACTTGTTGTGATGGTAAATGTGGCAGAGGGAATGAATGTTGGATATTTTTTCTTGTGGTGCATTGTTGTGACAATTCCAGCTCAGTGAAGCACTGAGAGAAAGGCATGAACTCTTTTTTTCTTTTTAAAGGGAGTAGACGAGTCAGGGGCTGACAAATTCACAGTGCTATTTCCATCAGGGACACCACTGCCAGCTCGAAGGCAGCACACCCTGCATGCCCCTGGAAACATTTCTTCTGTGTGCCTTGAACTGTATGAGTCACTGGGGAAAGGTCCCATGAACGAAGAAGATAAATTTGCACAGGTGAGTATGTACACACTCGTGCACTTTTAATAGCAACCACTGGAAAATCTGTTGGATCTGAAAAAAAAAATGGAAACCAATCCTACCTGTACCAAAACTTGTTAGAAAACTTGCATCTCTCTGGGCATCAGTCTTCAGTCGTTCTTCTCTACATGCAAAGTATTGAAGAAACTGAAGTTTCCCTTTTTCATTCCTGAATACATGGCAGGGCTTGATGTTTGGCACTACTGTAGTAAACTCAACTGGGATGAGAGATTCCAGTCATTCCAGTAGGGCACAGATCTCCAGCATTTGAAATATAAAAGTGCTTGACGTAATGATGTGGCTAGTGTGTGTACTGCTGATTACTTTTTGATCTTCTTAGATTGGATAGGATCTTGGTATTACATATTAAATTTGATTTTTCACAATTGTAAGATGATGTGGTTATATCAAGTGAGGATTTAAAGATCTTACTCAGGAGTCAACTTACAGAGAGAGAACACAACTTGTTTAAAACAGTCATGATGTGCTTTCCTTGGAAAGCATTGGGGAGGGGGCAGATGTGTCTGAAATTGATGGAATATCTGAGAAAATAGTTATTCTACCTTAGTCCTGCCCAAATATCTTTAGAGGGATAGGGAAAGGATGTTACCTAATAATTACAGAACTGATCCTAAGTGAAGGAAGATGCTCAGCTCTTACTGTAGGCTGTGGCAGTGGTAGGTCTCCAGCTATCTCAGTGATAGATCCTGAAACAAAAGCACAGAAACAATAGTACAAATAGCTAAAAATACATAAATTGGCACTACAGAAGGAAGTCCACTGGGGCATGCTTCGATTTGGAGTTACCAGTACAAGTTGCTAAACAGAATGAATTTCACATCAGAGCTGTTGTGTCACTTCCATTAAACTGCTGCACAGGAGTTTGGAGAACTTGATTATAATTTAACTTCTTTTTTTTTTTTTTTTTTTTAATAGATTGTACTCCAGGATTTAGATAAAAAGGAGGATGGCCTACATGATATACTCACTGTTCTCACTATGAAAAGGTACCCAAAATACTTATTGCTCTACCGTTTACCTTGCTGAGTCCCACTTGTGACGAGCAGTCTTTGCTCCTTGTACAGAATGTTTAATTTTGTATTGAGAAATTTCAGCATTTCATTGCTTACAGGGCTGTACAGTCCTGGCAGGGGCAAACTCTGTAGGAATGTGGGTTTTCTGCCGTACCTTCGGTGTTTTCATTGTTTGATTTCTAAAGAAATAAATCTTAACACAGTTGTATAGGTTATTTTTAGCAACTTCTGAGCTGTTGATCAGTTTAACCATGCTTGAGAGCAGTCAGGATCTCAAACTTCCCATGGAAGGGGCTTGGGTAGTTCTGCTCACACTCTTGGGAAAAACTGAAGGATATTTTGTCTTTTTTAGTTGCAAAGGAATCCATGAAGCATTGCAGCATTTACAGGGAAAACCTGGGGCTCTGTCCCTTCAGAGGCAGATTTAAGTAGAGAGACAGTGCCACAGGAGATCAGGACTGAAAAATCTACTTTTTACATGGTCACCTGGGGACTTTTTGTAGGAAAGTATGAAGTTTGTGTGAAGGTATGTTTTATGGCAGAATGGGGATGACAGGCCTTAGTAGGAGTGCTTGGGCTCATTTGAAATAGTCTAAATAGTTTATAAAGATATCTGAAGGTGGAATTCTAAGTAGTCAAGGCATCTTTGTCTTCTCAGGGCTGCCCTGAATTTCATATTATTTTCCTAAATGGTACACAAGTTGTGTAGATGTTGCTGAAAACTGAACCCCCACTTGTTATTTCAGTTCAAAATACTTAATTTTATTTACAACGGCTATCACATGTTAATAAAGCCTGTTAATAGAACTCACCTAAAATACCTTGTTTGTCATGCAGAGATTTGCACTTAGCACTGGTAAGAAAAGCATCCCAGGGATTATAGATGCAACTCTGTCATGCAGAAAAACGGCGTTATTTTAAAGGAGGTTTAAGTAACAGGTGAAAAAGGGAGAGAAAGTTCAGTGGAGCACATTTATTTCTGTCTGAATATTTTGTGTGTCTGTGTCTAGCTGAAGTGGGATTCACTACTGTCTCTTAATTACTGGATTTTCAAAATAAGGGTTTTCCTTGTTGAAGAAGATCCTTGGAATTTAAAGGCTACTTACACTTTTTTTAAAAGTCAAGTTCTCACGCTTTGATGTTCTTATCAGTCTGTTGCTGTTACTCAGTTCTCACAATGAATATTTTGAATAATATTACACATATTCTATTTATAAACCTGTACTAAATAAACTCAATTACAGTATTTAAACACATTCCTGAGTCTGTTTCAGCATATGTAGAGAAGATAGATGCCATAAGAGCAAGAAATCCGTATCTAAACACTCACTAAACTTAATTTTATAAACCACTTTCATCTCTGTTGAAATATTGTCTTCCCTGGATATTTTGATGCTGATCTTTCTTCCTTTCGTTGGTGTGAAGACTGTTGTTTATTCTCTCTGGAATATGCAGTGGCATCCTGAGTGTTGTGTTGAGTCCTAAACATACCCCTCTCTTTTACCTAGGGATGGGTCCTTGCACGTTACCTGCACTGATCAAGATACTGGGAAGTGTGAAATCATCACTGTTGAAGTGGCATCGTAGCCTGTTGTGAAAGGCAACATTTTTCTGAGTTGATTTTTGTCTCTTACTTCCTTCTCTGCCAAAGCAATGACTCTCTGGGATGTCTTTTGATTCTTAGAGGACTGTAATAAACTCGAGTAACACATTAATTTGCCACCAAGTCTGTTTGGAGTGGAAAGCGTGGTGCAGTATGTTAATCAAGACATGGAGACAGCAGATCGTTGAATTATCAGCAGTTGATTTAAAAAATGCAAAGCAAAAATGCTTGTACCTGTGGTTCAGCAACAAGCATATTACATACACAGTCTGAAGATTTCTCCTTTCAGGTACTTTTCAGGTCCTGTACCCAACTGGTGAAAATCCACTCTCTGATAACTGCGCCAGATTGTAACTGAAATTCTGTGAGGTGTTGATGTTGCCCAAAACCATGAAGGTGGTGTCTATTCATGATGGCCTATTGAGCTGTTGTTTTGTTGGCTTTTTTCTGGAGTAACTGTAAAATGGTTTTGTGGTATTACCTGAAAAATATGTGTAAGAGTTAAATGTGCTTATTTATGTGTTATTAAAATACATTTTTTTTTAATGCAGACTTAGCATTCTCCATTCTGCGTGGCACTGTTCCAACCTGTATGCCATATATTTGGGCATAAGCTGCAGGATTTTTCAGTAAGGAGATGGAGCAGGCAAGTGTAGTTACGGGATTTGAGGGTCTCAGCCTAATGTGCAGTTAAGGGGCAACAGTTCAAGCTGACAGCCAGGTGTTGTAAAATACTAAAAATGTCACAAAGACCCTCAAAATGAGATAAAAACTAGGGTAGGGCTACCTGTATGGATTTGAGGAGACCTGTGTTCAATTATCTCTTTTAATACAAGCTTCTCAAATTATCTTGTATTTCAATATTCTTCCTATCTCACAAAAGCAATAGATACTGTATGGCATAGTAGTCTGTAAGAAAAGGGAAAAAAAATTAGGCCTGCCTTATCCCTGGCTCTGGAAAATGAGTGAATAGTTCATAGAATTGTAAAATATCCTGAATTCAAGGGGATCCACAAGGATCATCAGTCCAACTCCTGGCTCTGCACAGAGTAACCTCAAAACTCACTCCATATGTCTGAAAGCGTTGTCTAAACATTCTCTGATCTCCAACACGCTTGCTGCTGGGACCACCTCCCTGGGCCCGAGGATGGAGCCCTGTGGAACCCCACAAGTGTCTGGATGTCAACCTGATGTCATCCCCTTCACTGTAACTTTGTGTCCAAGCTCTGACCCAGTTGCTAGCCCGTTGTGTAACATGGTTATTCAGCTGTATCCAGAAGGATACTGTTGTGAGACAGTATCGAAAGCGTTACTGAAATCCAAAGATGTAACACCAACTGAATTCCCCTGGTAACTGGGTGTTGTAAAAGGAAATTGAGTTTGTCCAGCAAGATTTTCATGAAGCTGTGCTGACTGGGACCAGTGACTGCACTGTCCTCCAGGTGTTTTATAATGCCTCTCAGAATAATCTCCATAATTTTACTGCTGAAGTGAGACTGACAGGCCTGCAGTTCACTGGTTCCTCTGTGAAAACTTCTAAAAGGGATCTTGGAAAAGCCAGAGTCTGGGAATGTAGGGGCAGTGGAGCTCCACAGCCTTATAAATACGCATGAAGAGACACCGAGGCACTGTTTGGTTGGGTGTGGGTTTGCGGGGTTTGGAGCGAACTTCTCTACAGGTTCGGGCTCTTCTCCCAGAAAACCAGTGACAGGACAAAAGGACACAGTCTTAAGCTGTGCCAGGGCAGGTTTAGGTCGGACATTAGGAAGAATTTCTTCACAGAAAGGGTGATAAGACATTGGAATGGGCTGCCCAGGGAGGTAGTGCAGTCACCACCAAAGACTGGATGTGGCACTCAGTGCCCTGGTCTGGTTGACAAGGTGGTGTTGGGTCACAGGTTGGACTCGATGACCTCTGAGGTGTTTTCCAAAGTGATGGATTCTTCGAAAGCCACATGAATAGGAAACACCGCATTTGAAGAGGGCGCTGCGATCATGGCGTAACTTTTTTTTTTTTCCCCACAAGTGCATGAACCGCTTCTCCGCTGTTCCTCCTTTCAGGTTTGCCGCTGATGGACCCGGGGGAGCTTCAAATCCGCCTCTCTCCGTTGTGCTCCCCGTCTCACCGCGTTCCCGGCCGGGTCCCGCCGGGAGCTCCTCACGGATGAGGCGCGAGGGGAGGGGCGGGGCCCGCGCGCGCCAGGGCCGCGCTCTGTGCCCCGCCCCCTTCCGGCGGGGGGCGGAGCCGGCGCGGCCCGAGCGCGGCCCCCCCCAAGATGGAGGGCTGGCGAGGAGGTGAGGGGGGAGCGCGCCGGGGTCGGGGCCACCCGGGGCGCTGCCGGCCCCGCGCCGGGCGGTGGGGGGGGCGGCGAGGACCGAGCGAGGGCGCGAGGGGAGGCTCCCGCCCGCTCTGGGCGCTGCGAGCCGCTGCCGCTCCCCGGTTCCGTCAGGATCGTCCGCACCGCCCCCGCCCGCAGCCCCGCGGCGGGGCGCGGAGGGAAGGGCTGGGGGTCCTGCCCGCTGCCCCGGGGGTCTGCCTGCCTCCCTGAGGACCCCACCCGCTGTCCCAGGGGCGCTGTGGGAGGAGAGCGGGAGGTGGGAGAGGCGCTGGGTCCCGGCGCGGCCGCGGAAAAGGCACCGCCGCCCCCTCCCGCCTTCCCGAGCTCCCGGCGCTGGGACCGGCAGAGCCCCGCGGAGCCCCGGGCACGGCCCCGCGGCTCCCGCGCTGCGCTCCATCCCACCCCGGCATCCCGGTGCTTCCCGGGCGCTCCCGCCGAGCCGCCCCGCGGGGCGTTGCGTCCCCTGAAACCCGCCCGGCTGACAGGGCACCCGCGATCCTTCTGGAAGAGCGCCGTGGGTCTCTCCTTCCTCTTCCAGTCTCCATGGTTGCATCGCGAGTGCTCCGTTTCGCTTGGCTACAGAAATTTGGCGGTCTGTTAAAGAATGGAGGTTTCCCTCTTGCCTTGCTTCAGTTATGGGATGCTGTAATTGCAGGAAAATTGCTCGGCGCTTAGTGCAGCTTTTGCCCGTGGAAGTCTCTGTCCTCCAAAGTATTTGTTGTTCTTTATAAATGTATGTACTGTGCAGAATAAAGGTGCAGGGAGGGAATCATTGGTCTGTTTCACTTCAACCGTTAGAGAACGGTTGAGTTTGAGACGCTACTGCTGTACAAGAGACTCGTGGACTGCTGTCACAAATGGTAATGTGGGGACTCTGGGATAGGGCAATAATGATTTCGATTTAGCCGAGACATTAAATAGGATTCTTTACCAATTTTCTTATTGTAGCCTGGTATGTGCCATGTCTAGCTTCACTTGAGACCCTCCAAGAATTATGTAGGAAGGAAAATCTCAGATGTAAATCCATTGGAATCACCAACAGGAGTCTAAAGAGTTATGAGGTGGAATATTTGTGTGACTACAAGGTAGAAGAGGTAAGAGAAACACAGACCAATTTGATCACTCTTTCAGCTGAAATTTGGGAGTGAACTAAAGGTAGTTTTGCTCATAATATAAAGCAACAGGGAGTGAGGACAAAGCTTTTACTGTCGTCAAATTAAATATCTTTTAAACTTTGAGCTGTAAACTGAAAGCAGTGTAAACTGCTGCTTTCAGTATGTGGAAGGAAGATCTTTTCCTGAAATTACAGAAATGTTAGAATATGAAATGTTTCATCTTTGTGTATCTAGAATTTAAATAAGATGCTGATGCTTTAGGTGGTAGCTTGGTATGAATTATGATGCCTCTCCTTTATTTGCAGACAACCATCTATATTTCTCTTTTGACTCTTTCAGTCTGTTTGATGAAGAGTTAGGGCCATGTGCTGTAACTGGATTCCTTTAAAATTCAGTCTCAGGATTTGACCTTGTTACAGTTATTTGGCCTTTTTAAAATAAGTACAAAATGTATGCTGCTTCATTGTAACTATAGTATTACATGTATCAAACTCATTACTGCTTTAGGAGGATGGTTGATATAACAAACAATGGGGTTTAGACTTTTCTGCTAAATTTTGGATTTTTTTTTGTTCTGTATGTGTTACAACTACATTCTGTTTGTGCATATGAGTCATTCAGCAAGTTAGCATAACGTGCCACCTGCCTTGACAAATTAGCCTCCTCCTCCAGGTATGCTGTTAGGGATCAGAATTCATCCCACCTTTTGATTTCTTTGTCCCTAGAGACGATATGTAAAGTATGCAAAATTGTCCTTAATTTGCAAACAGAAAACCTGATTTTTCTCTTTTTCCCCAGTTGTAATTGTTATGGGGACATCAAGGCTCTCTGCACTGTGTGCTTGATCCTTAACTCCAGATCTCTTTTGTTTGTCTGTGTGCCCTGTGATGCTGGATTGCAGCAAAAGGAACTGTGGCTAAATCTATATCTATTTCTGTGTTTCAAGGGCAAAGAATACTATCTTGTGAAATGGAAAGGATGGCCAGAATCTTCAAACACTTGGGAACCTGAGAAGCACCTGAACTGCCCATTGCTTCTTCAGAACTTTCTTAGTGACAAGAATGAATACTTGTCTCGGGTGAGAGAAGGCAAAGCACTGAAAGTGAGAAACCACATTAAAGCTTTGAAACCTGCCATTGCAGATTACGTTGTAAAGAAGGCCAAGCAAAGAATAGCCCTGCAGAGATGGAAAGAAGAACTCAACAGGAAAAAGAATCACAAAGCAATGATCCTGGTAGAAAACACTGTGGATCTTGAAGGCCCTCCGTTAGACTTCTACTACATTAATGAGTATAAACCTGCTCCGGGGATAAATGTGCTCAATGGAATAACGACTGGCTGTGAATGTGCTGACTGCCCTGCTGAGAAGTGCTGTCCAAAGGAGGCTGGGTTTATTTTGGCTTACAATAAACGTAAGAAGTTAAAAATCCAGCCTGGCTTGCCCATCTATGAGTGCAATTCCTATTGTAGGTGTGGGCCTGACTGCCCTAATAGGATAGTGCAGAAAGGTACACCATATTCCCTTTGCATCTTCAGAACCAACAATGGCCGCGGCTGGGGAGTAAAAACCCTCCAGAAAATTAAAACCAACAGTTTTGTGATGGAGTATGTTGGAGAGGTATGTATCTCCTTAGATGAATTACATACAATAAAGGAAATGTTAGATAAAGTCTTTGAACTTTCTCTCAGTTTTAACACTTCTTGACTTCTTCACCCTGAGGGTGGTTGGACACTTGAACAGAGAAATGGTCACGGCACCAGGTCTGACAGAGTTCAAGGAGTGTTTGGACAATGGTCTCAGGCACATGCTGGGATTCTTGAGGTGATCTGCAAAGGGCCAGGAGTTGGACTTCTGTAATCCTGGTGGTACCCTTCCCAACTCAGGATATTCTGTGGGTTTATTATATAATAGATCAGTCTGCTTTTGAGTAGAAAGAGAAATAGACATTCAAGTCGCCAGCAAAATTATATTGTCCAGAACATTCCTTCGTTCCAGAGCAGTTGTAAAAGGTCGACTGTAAAGAGAATACTTATCCCATATACTGCTGAAGAATTATTTTAGATACGTGTCCTAATAGTATTTCTAAAGGCAAATCC